TTACTAAAAACAGAAAATAAATATCAACTATGATTTTTTATAATATTAAACAAATATTATTTGTTCACCTAATGAAGTTTATCCATTATTTTGAGCTAAAGAATTGACCATAGTCCTGGAACCAGCAAAGGAGCTCTAGCAGAAAATTCGAATATGAATAAAGAAAGTGTTTATAGTAAAATGAACCCAGTAGACATTTCGAAACCGTTGATTTACAAAATGTTTGATTTTAAACACATTAGGCCGCTCAGTAGTGGACCGAAAAAGGGAAGAAAAGTTGAGATAATTTCAATGGGCTATTTATCAGAATTAAAAAAAAAGTTTTTTTTTTTTTTTTGGACTGGAACTCCTAAAAATTCCATCCTAAAGAAAGTATTTCTCTTTGAAAAATAAAAGAACATTGAATTCTTGCGTCGAATGAAAATTACAACTTAACAATTGTTTTAATTGTGCATGGTCGAAAACTACCGTCAAGAGATAAAGATGACGATTTGTTGCAACTTTGTCAAAAATTGAGGTGCAATAATTAATATGTCTACTTTTTGACCCTGGAGCCAGTACTAAAAACGTTTATACAAACCGATGAATTTACAACGTTTTTAATTTAATGAAGGAATTAGTTTATACAGAGATCTTAACAACTATTTTTACTTTAGTAATTTTTTTTTTTACCAAACTATCAAGGAAACTTTTGAATCACCCCTCTCCCCAGGTATAATAATTCCCAATATAACATATTATACAAACATACAAATTAAGGCTTACTTCTTTATAATTATATAAAAATGTCATAAAAAGGCAGGAATAAGTGCCCAACATTGGCAATAGATTAATGTGTCACCTTAATATATTTTTTTAACTTGCTAATCACTTCCTCAACTAACAAAATACCCTTTTTCTCAAGATTTTTAAGAATTCATAGAAGAGGATGATTTTTAATTTAATGAATGATTAAGAAAATTTTATATAAGAAAAACATTTTCGTTTCCGAATTTCGCTCCTAAAATTCGGAGTACTGTCCAAAAATCTGGAATGTCTCTAAATCTGAAACACTAATAGCATACATACCTAAAATTACGATTAAGAAAAATAAATAGAAATTAAATATTAAAATATAGAACAAATACATCGAGAGGTGTTCTGAAATCAGTATAAACAATAAACATCCTCAAACGGCTACTTCAGATTGAGAGCTATTAGAAAATCTCAACGACAGCCAAACGCTTCGTGAACATTTACATACATGCATGAGATCAATTCAGATTATCGCAGAAATCAATTCAAGATTAATGCGTTTGATTTAAACGCATGAAGTACAGGTTGCCTGTTAGATGAAATGTCGATATTGAGAATTATAAAAGAATAAAGATGTAACTAAATAAGATCCTTAAGTTTTGATATATGAATTATCAAACACATAATCATAATCATAAAAAAAAAAAAACAGGTACGTAAAGAGTTTACTAACAATCTTAAAAGAATGTAACCTTTAGAGTTCAACTTGTCTTGGAAGATCATTCGCCAATGTTGGTAGTTAACCTTCACATTGAAATTTTAACCGGTTTTGCATGTATTTTTCTAAAATTGTTTCCGATATTACAACCATATCAAGATCGTATCATCGTAATCATAACATCGTAATGATATCAATGTTAAACAAAATCGTAATACATCTGTAAACTAATTAATTAATATACATAAAACATATCCTTATTAATATAATCCTTGCTAATATTTTCATTGAATAAAGACAAAACTACGAAACAAGTTTGTTTATGTTTAATTAATGCCATTCATAAAAATAACAATTTAATTACTGATAACGACTTGAATCGCATAAAACACACTTTTCTACGGTAAAAATGCTTTTAGCCAGCGTTATCTTTACAAAATGTAAACAAATCTAGTAAAGATAGACACCAACAATGGTGGTCATTTGAGGCTAACTTCGACTCCAACAATTTTAATTTTCCTTATAGAATATATTTCAAAATAAAATTTTAAAAAGCCTGAAATTTTACAAAACTAGATAATTTATTATTAGTGCAATAATAAGATTTTTATTTTCCTACCAACTAACATACAGGAAATAATATATGAAACTAATATATGAAAAAATCTACAATTTTAAAATAAAAATTATATACGATAAATAATTTTGTTTTCTATCAAGGGAATAGATGCTACTAATTAATAACATCTGATTCAAAAATAGCTTGGACATTTAAAACTAGTTTTTACATATATCCAGGGGTTATTCACTTCTTTTAATGACCATATTAATCCAAATAATATATATATATATATATATATATATATATATATATATATATATATATTTCAAGTTTAATTCTTATTGAATCATTTACATTTTTAAGGAAATCCAATTATAAAAATAGAATAAAATAATTCGGCGTTAAATTTCAACAAAATAGTTTCGATGAGTCAACAGCGCATTATTTTTAAAATTAACAACTTAAAAATCATACTTGCCAAAATTGTAAGTATGCCGTTACAGCCATATATAATGGTATATGTTTAAACAAAGTGATAAGAACAAAAACATTATATCAGAGGGATATACATTATTCATATAAACAACTAAGGTTAGACAATTCACAGAAATCATTTTTTTTTCTGCGTGTTTCCCACACTTAAATGTTAACAAGGGTTTTTCGCGTAATCCTAAGCCAATTCACCATGTCAAATTATTTCACATAATCACTAAATTGAATTCAATAAAAACAAGCTTTAAAAAGTTATATAATGAAGGATTTTTTTTTAATATATTATTTATAATTCAGAAATATTACATTTAGTCACAATTAAGGACATTTATCTTAGTGTCCAGAAAGCACATTCACACTCTAAATGAAGGATTAGAAGAATAGAAAGGATTAGTATCCCAGTATTTACTTTTTAAACGTACCATTGTTTTTGTTACTGCTATAATGATAAACAAGGATGTTGAATATTCTCTTAAATACGACGCATTTCCTAGGTCGATTATTAATATGCAATTATGAAAATAATTTATTCAAGATTATCTAAAAATATAAGAATTAAAAAGTGCCAATATTATTGTTTTTAACACCATGTAAAAAAAAATAAAATAATTCAGAGTTAAATTGAACAGAATCGTTTCAATGGATTAACAACCCAATATTTTTAACGTTAAACTATAAAAAATAATCTGTAGTATTAAAAATATCTAGATTTATTAGTCTATTATTCACTATATTTAATCTTCATAAAAATCCCGCTTGATATAATTATTATTGATAACTTTAAAAATGATATCAGTAAATATAAATATGAAACCAATTATTTTGTAATTGTAAATGTAAATTTAAACATAACTATATATAGTTGGTTTAACTACAATTTATTTATTTAAACAGAAAATATAATTAAATAAAAATTTATCAAAATGATTGGTATAATAAAAATAAATATGGTTAATTTAACTATTTCCATTAAATATATTTGGGCCTAAAATGAAAGGTGAGGAGAGAAAAAGAGTTTCCGGTTGATAAGGTAGAGCAAAACTAAGCTCTCATGATGTTATGACTAAATTTGAAATTTATAAAAAATGCATATAAAATACTGACTATAATGGAAATAATTAAATGCTTAGTATCAGAAAACGGAATAATACATGGTAATTACAGAAAATTTGTTGGTGCACTCAACTCTCCTTTGCTTTGGAGTATAATCTACAAGAAAAGAGGGCACTTCCGGCAAAAAATATATTCATCCTTTTAAATAATTGTTATCATTACCACCGTCAATGTATTTAATAAATTGTTTTTTATTAACATAAGTACGTCTATGTTCCAAGGGAATGTTGAATTAAAAAGAAAAAGTTTTATTATCAAAATTATGGTAAATAATTTTAAAAAAAATTAAAATATTCATTATAATTAAATCAATCCTTAGTTAGTTCAGCATTAAATATTTTAAATATGAATAAAATAGAGTGTGAGTGTGCTTTCTCTGAACACTATTATAAATGTCCTTGATGTGACAGAATGTAATATTTCTAAATAAACAAATATTATATATAAATATGAATAAAGGTGTTTTGTAAACATAAAATCAATAAAAATTTAATTGAATAATTTTAAATATATAGAATATTTGATATCCTATAATATTAATCCAATAAAAACCAACAACAGTTTTTACAAGAAAAAAAGGTTAAAACAAGCGATGTCTTTGAAGGGGGTCTATGAGTAAAAGTGTGACTAATTCACTACTGAATCCAATTCGTCTGGAGAGCTCCTGCCATTTTTGCAACACAGGATTTTCACCGAAACGTGAAAACTAATTTACATTTATATACTTCTTAAAAAAAATTCATAATATAGTTTTTTTTTAAATTAGAAATTATTATTTAAATGGTCACTCAATAATAACACAATTGGCAGCACTGATAATTTGACTTTAAACTAATAAATGCAATTTTTAAGTAAGATGATTTTTGTTTTGTTTTTTTCTACATTAAACACATGTTTAATTATTTGTTATGAGATATAACCTTCTTTAACTGTTAGCATTATAAATAACAGCTTAACCAAACACTAGTCAGTCTAATTTTGTTTTGTTGTCAATGTTTTCAATTTTGATAAATAAGTGATATCATATTGTCACCGGTTTTTGATTCAATTAAAAGAGAAATATGTTTCCTTTGAATATGGAATATAATAGATGGATGTTAATTGCAAAATAGTTGCAAATTATTCTATGAAATGATAATGTGGGCTGCGAATTATTTTGAGTTATTTCTGCTTTTTCTTTCAAGTGGCATATGGCAATACTTGAAAACTAGAAAATGAATCACCCTCGTTAAATTATAACTGGTGAAATCAACCGAATCGGCACAGATCACTGACAGAACGAATCAATTACTTGATGTCTCGACACTTGGGGGTTGTCAACCGATATTTTATAAACACTTTATTTCCAATATTAATAATATATTATTGTCTATTACTTACGTGTTTTGTGTGATGTGTTATATCAACAACAATAATAATAAATATAACAAAATCTGTGTCGCCTCCGATGCGGGCACTGGCGATCTCTCTGACCGTCGGGGGTACATAAACTGAGGGCGACGTCAGGGGAGGCGGTGGGGAGGAGGCGTGCCCACGCGCACCCCTTCTGCGCACATCACACCACCTCCTTCTGGGCGGGAAACTGTTCCTGATTTGAATTTCGTCGCTTCACAGCCCCGCCTCGTGCTTCTGTTTCTCAGGAGGCGTGAACCACGCGTGAGGGTTTCTGATCTCTATCTCGTCCTCTAGGTATTTTATTGACATTTTATTATATATTTTAAACGATTTCGTACTAAAATAAATATAGCAAAGCAAAGCCTGATCCCGCCTCTAAGTAATCGATATTCTTCAAGTCTGGTGTATACGCTAAAAGTTCTATCACTGATACTATAAATTGTAATTACTATATTGCTGTTAATATAAAATACAATACCGAAATAATTCCCATAATGTTGGAACATTTTTAATTATATTTATTCTCTGCCTTATTAAAAATCTTCTTTCTATTATTTAAAATAATTTTATCTTTAAGTTAAAATAATTATAAGTACAAATCTATTATTCTTATCAGTCTGGTTCTTCCATTAGTTTATTTACTTGAGTTACAAATATAACCAACTGACAAGAGAAGATTGCAGTCAGTGGGTCACCAATTTCAACCATTTTTTTTTTGGTAATACTACATTAACAATATTTCTATAAAAATGAATATTTAACATTTTTAAAGGACACTAAAATCGAATATAACTTGTTTTTTAATGACAAAAAATTACTTAGCCTACTTTACTTGTAGGCTTTTAGTTTTTGTAATTTGTTTACATTATAATGTTTTTAATTCTATTGTCAAAATTATTTTCTTCAGCAGAAAAACGAAATCAATCGGTACACAATTACCTAGAAATCTGGGACAAGGAAAGGCAAAAAATAAATATGACAATTGTTTTAAAAAATATGTAAATTTTTTTTCTTGCTTCCTGAGCCCCATTAGAACGAACGCCGGGTTCGCAGGGTAGGGAAAAATATTAGTTTTTGATGTGGATTCAACAAAAACAAATTTGGTTAAAATCGGTGAACCACTATCTGTAGGTGAAAATAACCGATTCATATATATATATATATATATATATATATATATATATATATATATATATATATATATATATATATATATATATATATATATATATATATATATATATATATATATATATATATATATATATATATATATATATATATTTATATATATATTTATAACGTAACAATATTTGTATTTGTTTTTTTATTTTTAATTTAGTCAGTAAATTGAATTTATGTTCTGACATTTATTTTGATGTATACTACCTAAAATAATATTCAAAAACTGTTGACTTTTATTGAGGAGGAAGTGTTGAAAGAAGGACCATCAAAATTAACCTTCTCTAAACAAAAATGTAATTCCTAGTCTGCTGAAGATTACAATAACAATATAAGGAAAACTAAGAGTGTTGTACGTTTAATGCCTTAAATTGGAAAGCAATAAAGTACTACAGCAGTTAATGGAAAAAAAAATTATTGATCAACATTCTCTCAAAATCATTTATTTTATTCAAACCAGACAACTTATTAACCACACGGCCTCTTCAAACGGAAAACCCTGTCCAACGGACAACCCGTTCTCTTTTTCTATTTCTTTCCTGGAAGTACAATTCTTTAGACCACTTTGCACATGACACACCATAAAATGATTACGGATAAACACAGTTTTGTATTCGAGAGATCAATTCTCCTCCTCTTTTCCCTCGATGGCGAATTATAAAATATTTTCCACTGTATAAACATAACAATAAAATGACTTTTACGAAGAAAAATCACAATTTATTCCAAAAAGTTTGTTTTTTAATGAAGCAAATATTGTGAAGTCAAACAAAAATTAAACCATTATTATAAATGAGAATATTCATTTTATTTTTTTAAATTAACAATTATTGTTATTGTTACATTTTTTTACAAGTTTATATTCTGTTTTTTGAATATGTTCATATATGCATACTAAATTATAAAAATATATGTATAAATAAAACTCAAAATAATATTAATAAATTTCATTCATTCAAATTAACAAACTTGTTTTGACGTATGCATTTACATTTTAATTTTGGTAATAAGCTGGAAAACTTCTCTGCTGGCTCTTCTATGCATCGGAGTCAGTATGATTTTTGTCCGTTGTAGAGAGGTTTTACTTTATATGACAGTAAGTAACAAAAGGAATATCTTTTTTTAACAAAATGGATACAATTACAATTTTATTTCAAATAAAATTAAATAAAAATATTTAATAAGTACAGATAAAATGAAAATAAATTTTAAAAATTGAAAAGTTTTATTTCAGAAGTTTTTGTATGATTTGATAAGAGACTAAACAAGACTGAAACGGTTGTAATTTGTAATAAGTCCTATAATAATAAATTAATAATTATTTATCTTAATTTAAATTAATATTTTTTGGGCATTTTTAATAAATATTATTGAATAAATATTACTGAAAAAGATCTAGAAATATTTTATAATAACTTTTAATCAAAATACTTATTTTCTCGATCCTCTGGTAATAGAGAGAGAGACACTTTATTTTCATAAAATATACAATATAAAGGATTGCTGCCCAATTATATTGGGTTGCTATATGCACAGCATAATGATTAATCCTTAAGACAATACATGAACTTATATATAAATATACAGAGGTATTAGTTAATATTAGTAATATATATATATACATTTTTATTATTTTATTTATTTTTTATTATTATTTTTTTTTTTCCTTTTTCCTTCTTTTCATTGTTCATGGTTTTTTTTGTATTTAACATTAACACAGATTTAACATTAACATTAACTATAACTCTCTTATTACAGTTTCTCGAACCAAAGCTAAAATAAAAATTATGAACTTTAGACGAATCCATAAACTTTCTAATTTATATATATTTTTTAATTCTATATAATAATTATTGATTAAAAATGTACGTACAGTTTACTCAACTTTACGCTTAATTATATAAATTTTAATAAAATAAATTTTAACACTATTCTTAATATTGTTTTCTTTTTTCTCTTATGTTTTCGATATATCACACTAAGATGTCAGTCTTCTTGAATTATATTAGTTTAGCCTTCAATTAGCTTCTTTTTTTTTTTTTCTATTTAATCTCGGTCAGGATTTATATTACAAGTAATTAAAAACATTATATTTAGGATGATTAATCAAAATGATTGATTGGTCAAGGGCGGATCAAAACATAGGTAGGTAGGTTCCTTCAGTCTTGTTACTACTTAGAAACAATTACTAAGTAATAAAAATTTCGGAGTTCTCTTAAAAAAATTTCAACATAGAGCTAATAAATTTGTTTTGTTTTTAGTTTTATTTGATTATTTTATGGAAGGTTGGATCTTTCGGCCAAAATATTTATGTAAAAATACATATTTTAAGGTATCGGAGGCTTTACTGAATAGTATATCATAACCCTCAGTCGCTTACTTTGCACTGAATTGGCGATGCAAAATCTTTCATTTTTAAGAGAAAAAAATAATTAAACAAATTAAAATTCGTTATATTCATCATACAGGGTATTCCGTAAGTAAAGGGAAATATATATATATGTTTTTATGTGTTTCATGTTTTGATGAATAAGAAGCAATAAATAAAGAAATATTTTATTTAAGTAATTAATAATTCCTTCACTGTAAACTAGAGAAAATTCACTTTTAACGAAAATAAAGTTTATCTTTATTAAAACCATTTAAATAGGAGTTTTGAGCGGTTAAATTAAGCTAAGTTCATTAAAATAACCATGAATTATTCGCAATTTTTTTTTTATGACCTTCCGACTACACTACACATTTCCCACTGTTAGAATTATTTTTTTTTTTGTTTAATGAGCTTTAACTCCGTATTATTTAAGTTGAGGTTTATCTGCGACAGTCTTGAGATTCGCTTTAAGTTGTGTAAACAAAATAATGTGATTTCATATCCTGTCATCTAAAAGTACCCATGTTTTCAGCGAAAATGACTGCAATATATTATGGCAAAGCTTTAATTTCTTTTTGGTTCTATAATATTTTTATTTATAATTATAGGTATAAATGCATATTTATAAAAAAATGTTTAAAATAATGATTTTCTGATATTCATCATCTAACATGATAATCTAAATTTTTACTAACATTTATGTTTTTTACTAACATTTATATTACAAAAATTGATGCTATCACTCCTATAAATCTTTTTCTTACGGGACAAGCTGTATAAAAATCCATACATATGTGCTATAATTTATCTCTCTATTATTAGTGGTGCCCATGGGCGAAATCAAGACGAGTCTTGGTCTTGCGCACTCAGTAGTGATCTTGGTCTTGGTCTTGCGCACTCAGTAGTGATCTTGGTCTTGGTCTTGCGCAGTTACCTATTAGCTGATTACTACATTACTGTAATATTTTAGATAGGAGAAACCTAACGAAGCCTGAACGAAAAATTAGAAGAGTTAAATGCAGAAGTATATTGGTTATACCAATTCTTGACACATACTAACTGAAACTGTCAAGTATTAGTAACTATTTATTTTGCCTTACTTTTTATTCAAAAAGTCTATTTTTTTTTCTTTTTACCAGTCTTGGTCTTGCAAAGTACAAGACTAAGACCGATGTAGGGCAACACTATCTATTATACAGGGTGTTTCAGAGTTAAGTAGCCAAACGGGGAAAATTAAGTATCTCAAACAAAAAAAAATCCTCTAAAGGTATGTCGGCAAATGCTTTGTTTAGAAGATATTCACACCTAAAGATTTTCGTTGTTGTGAATTATTTACGTTATATGAAATAAATAAAACCTATTCATTAAGATTCATATCAAATGTTGTTCAAAGTGATTCCCTTGAGCATTAAAGATAGGCTGGTCATCTTTCTTCAACAGCAGCAGTGGTAGAATCGCTATCCAGACTTCGTAAGGAATTAGGATACTTGCATATATTTTTTGTTTAATTTCACCCCAAACAAAAAAATCTACTGGTGTCAGGTCTGGAGAGCGTGCAGGCCAAGCCACTGGTCCTGCACGGCCAATCCATTGATTAGGATAC